CTGACTAATATGGATATTTTTGTGGTCAAGGCCAGTACCAATATTTGAGAGTAAAAGCATTAACATAAATAAAACCAAATAAATAGAACTTGAATGAGAGAAAACTAATCATTTCTCAACGTAAATTGTAAATACATTTCTAAATCTTATCACTTTTTTAATTCTGTAAAATAAAAGTTTATCTCCCTGCAACAGAAACGCTGATACCGACCTGTGAAAAACTCAAATCGTCCGATTTCTCAGCCAAACGATAAATCAATGGGGGACGGACGGAGGGACACAGTAAAACTATTGTAAAGTTTTACTGTAAAAGATGAATAACCGGATAAAACAAATCTGAAGATCTGGGACGCAGAAACAAAGTGTGACTCTCTCCCTCTGGCTCTTTTTTGTGTTTTGGATGAACCCTGCTCTCTGTTCCTGGATCATTTGATGAGGTGTGTTTGATCATAACTCTGCGATGGCGGACAGAAGCGTGAATGTGCGGCAGCAGAGAGCAGACACGTCCCGCGGTCCGTCGAGGGCCCGCTAATGAATTCATCCAGAGCGGCCCCATGAGACGGGCTTTGGATTGGCGAGCGTGCGGAGTCAACGCAGAGCGTGAACACACTGAGAGCACAATCAGCCCGAACAAATCCCACCGGCTCAGCCTGAGACGCCCCGGCTCTTCTGGAGAGGGCCCACAGCTGATTATTTCATTTCAAGATAAAGATCAATATTTTACAACAGCAAAATGATTTAGAGTATAATCACACTGCAAACAGTAACTGGAGATGTGAGACTGTTGGGAAGAATATGAGGGTGAAGCACTCCACAATAAGGAGTTCTTGACTTTTTAGAAAAAGACAAAAACTGTTGCTGCCTCAAAAACACTTTAAATCAACCATTAAATGTGTTTGGTCAATATTTCTTTAAGTGAGTTTCTTTGTTTGGTCGCCTGTTTGGAATATGAACCGTGACTTCATGCAGTAGTTTGTGAGCTGCTGTTCTGAAGCCTCCAGGCCGACATTGTGTTCAGCGCCATTTAGTTTTTTTTAAACCAGAAGAAACCATATTTGGTGGAGCAGGGGGTGGAGCCTGACTGAGCGCTTGCGAATGTGCCCACCTACACCTGCCACCATTTGGATGGTACAAGCTGTCAATCACTCTGTGGTAACCACCCCCAACACACCCAGTGCTTTCTGGTCCGTTTGACTCTAAATGATCATAATTGATAAATGAACATCAGCCGTTTGAAGACGACTTGAAACTAGAGACTGAGACAAAAACTCCTGAGGACAAAGTTTACTGACGTTATAAAGTGAGAAGAGACATTTTCTATGACACCTTGAGCTCTGTGTGAGTATTCGGGGCAGCAGGAATCACAATGAAACACAGGTGTGGGTCTTCGTGGTGCGTGGACATACCTGGTAATAGTAGCGCAGCACCCAGCAGAGACCCTCCACGTACGACTTCACCACCCTCTTCCTGAAATCATCATCTGTAACTTCCACGTCAAACTTGGTCTTGTAGTATCTCTGCTTCCAGCCGTCCTCCCACAACCTGCAGCACAGGAGGACATGGTCAAGCTGTCATAGGTTTGTTGCTCAGCAGGATTTGACCTGTTGTTAACGCTGGCTTCAACATTACAGACATTTAATTGTTCCTATTTACATTAGAGGTTATGTTGTAAATAAATCTAAATTACACATTAAAACAACTGAGTGAAGGCTGAAACTTCCTGGAATAGTTTAATGGCTTTGACTTCTTGGTAGATTTTATGCACACATAATCAAGGCCGTCCAGCATCTGTGCTGTGGATCCTCAGAGCGGCCCGCGGGGAGCGCTAACTCCTGAGAGGAAAGCCTCCATGAATACCAATTTAGCCCGATGGATTTAGCAGCTTTGACAAGTGCGTCACAGAGGAATTTACTCGAATGTTGCTGCTTTCCATATTAATCACGTGCAGAGGGGTGTGTGTGTGTGTGTGTGTGTGTGTGTGTGTGTGTGTGTGTGTGTGTGTGTGT